TTTCATTGTACTTCCCAGATCCGAAAGATCGACGCGTCCCGATCACTTGTCGACCGCGACAACGAAAGCAGTTCCTCGCTGGCCACCACAGCCGACCGGTCGCCGCAGTTTCTTCTCGTGCCAGTGGGCCCAAGCCAAGATGGAGCCGAAGACGCTGCGGAAGAAGTCGTGGATGTTTCCGGCCTCGTGGGCCGCCGATCCGACGCCCGAGGTCCGCAAAGAGTAGGTCTCACGTCCTCGAAATCCCCCGGTTGGTCGAATTCGGACGAATTCTGCTGCTCGGATGTTTTTTCATGGCAGTCGCATTCGCTTTTCAACTGTCAGTTATCAACTAAGCCATTCGCAAGTAGCTTAAGGTGTCAAGAATTAGCTAGTAGCTGAGAGAGGGGAGATGAGGCAGGACCGCAGATATATCCAGTAGAATTTCCAGCAGTCCTTCTGGGAGACGGAAATCATTCCTATCTAAAGAAGCAGTCATACCCAGACCTGATCTAAACAAAACCAGAAGGGCTGGGAAAAAAAGAGATTCACTTTGAAGAGGTTTGAGACATTGGTTTGTCCCATCCGACGATCCCATGGATTGCCGTTGAGATGCGGAGACGGGGCTTCCGCATCATCCGAATGTAAAGTTTGGTTTTCGATTAGCCTCACCTTCGGGAGAGTTTAATAGCTGCAGACACGGTCTCCATTGTCCTATAGTTCTCTAGACACTAGTCGAAGGTGCTAAGGGAGACCTTGCAGGTTTACCGTTTTGGAATCCGTCGTGGTCGATGCCGTATCGTATGGGAACTCGCGACCTTCCGTGCCTGCGACCGCGCCGTAGGCAACCTCCATCGCCGGCTTCCATCGCGATCGACCGGGCAGTCGGGACGTGCTTCCTTGGGGTCCTCCGCGTCTTCCGTCTTTCCTTCCACCTCCAAATGGTGTGCACGCACTGTCACATGCCCATTGGGAAGTGCAAGACTTCGTCGTCTCCAGGGAGATGGGAGTCTGGACCGTTGACGCTTTCCCGTTGACGAGATTCATTTTTTTTGCGTTGAACAGATCTAGGTCGAAGTGGGACCACGAAGTTGAAAGCGTTGAGGATGGGCAATTCGTGAGTGCGAAAATGGAATTCTCAGGTCGCAGGTTCCCCCAGGTTCCTTTTATGCAGGTGAAATGAGGGTGTAACGTCTCGTGGAAGCGATTCTGTGGGGGGAAAAGTAGCGCATTAACAAAATAACTGGATTTTGCAAGGGGATCTAGACAAGAACTGTCGATCTTCAGAGACCTTCCAAATTTCAGGCGGACGTTTGACCTATTCTGAACCCTTGGTATTCGATGTGCGTTCGCTCCAGCGGGTGCGACAAGAGGGTGAATTCGAGGAACACCTGATCGTGACTTAGGACAAGGGTCCAGATAAGTTGAGAAAAAAAAAGTTCAACGATAGGTAACGATTACCAAAAACGACCAATTTTTTTTAGATCAGTATAAGCCTCTAGTTTCAGCATAATAGGGTCATATATGCACACAACATTCGGTGACAGTAATCTTTCGTTTGTCCATGACCCCCCAAAGCCCACTGGACTTTGATTATGGGAGACATTGCTTCGATCATGCAAGCAGAAGCATCGATCATGCGGACACGTGGAGACTTGCCCCCGTATTCCGCCCCAGTTCGCCGATGGAACAGATACGACGAGCCTCTCCCTGGACAAGCGCCCTGAAACGCGGAGAGAGATTTGAGGGCTTAAGAAGCGTTGAGAGCGTCCCGTCCCGAGAGAAGCGATTCCCACTCTCGCCTTCCTCGGTTTCTAATGCGACCGCGATGAAGGGGTCGCAAATTCAGGGACATGGCAATCGAACGGGAAAAGACTGTAGACGTTCCCCTGTTTATCAGAATTTTCGTTCGCTTACGGCTCCTTCCAGGTATTTTCTAGGCACCTTTCGAAAACTCCAGAGCCGTAAAGCCCGATGAGATGATGACAGCCCAGTCCTACGATTATGCATCGCTTCGTATAGACTAAAAAAAATTTTCAGGTCTCAACGAATCTCGTCTCATTTCCGTTAGTTTCCTTTCATATCGTGAATATGCAGGTCGTGCGATTCCGAGCAATAATAAAACGATCAAGTTTTCACATTTTTACACGCCAGGCTCTAAAAAAGCATTTCTAACGGTTTTTCTTCAAGCACTCCAAGTCCCTCTCGGACTCCAAGCTTCACTCGGTCCCCAAGTCCCATGCAGCCCTCGAGTCCCATGCAGTTCTCGAGTCTCATGCAGCCCCCAACGAAGAAGCCGCTAGCGCTCGACATCTTCGACAAAGCACTGGAGACATTCTGCGACTGGCACGACATGCACGGTCTGTACTTCCTGAGGAACAGGATAAACCTGGGCGTCGCCAAATGGCTCATCTGGGTGGTGGTCGAGTGCAGCTTCATCTCGTGGGCCCTATACCTGTGCTACTCGCCCTTCACGAACCTGATCACCTCGCAGCACACGGTGTCGATGGATATGGATGGCGCTCTGTTGAAGGAGATGCTCCTGCCGGACATCACCATCTGCCCCTCGATTCCCGTGCGGGAGGATGCCGCTCGAGGTATGGGATTTCTCCTCCTGTGGGAAGTCGGGATGGTCGTTGGTTGCGGTCGTGGTTGCGGTCGTCCCCGAATGAGACGATTGTCTCTCTACCGTTTCTTCGGTAGATGGGAATGTCAGTGCTGGATCTATTCCGAAATTCTCTGCAGGCCGGGAAATTTGGCATAGATGCCATTTTCATTTTCAATCGCTCAAATGTTGAAGTTGAACGAAATATGAAATTGAACGCAGGAAACATCGCCCAAGAGGCCAAGTCGCTCCTTGGTCCCGTTTCACATCAGGGAAGACCTGGAAACCATTAGTCGGGTCATAGTCATTGGCATTTCTATCACGTATGTGCTCCGATCCAAGTGATGAATTATGCGTCTGACTTGCCTCCAGCTGTTCAATGGCTTGGGAGAAAAAAATTAGCAGGTGGAGAACTGAAAAAAGGCTGTTAGCCAATCGCTGTTTCTTTCGATTTTCCAGGCATTTTATCTACGAAACTAAGTTCGGCAGAGCTCTGTAAATGAGTAGGCGCTCACTTCGAGGATCTTACCTTTTCTTCATGCAGTATTGAGCAGGTGGGCATTTAAACAATTTTACCAGAAATGCCTGCAAATTAAAAAAAAATTAGATCTTGCCGGTTCGCCATTGATATGATTTAAATGTGAATTATTTCTAAAATTACATAGACTCATTTTTTGACGCTCGCACCTACCAACGCGTTAAAACTCCTTGGTTTATAGGTATTTTTCATCGTCACGTGACCAGAACGTCACGTGACGTCTTTGGCAGCCTGATGGCCTTAAACAAGAAAATATTAAAAAACCCCTTTTATTCAACCCCTACCAGCCATATTCTTAACCTCTCAACACGAAATCGCTTCAGCAAATTTGAAGCTTCATCTCCCAGGTGTTGATTTCCCCTGAATTTCCCGTGTGAATTTTCCCTCCACGAACCGCCTTTTAAAGCACAAGTGGAAGAATCCCTTTCTTGCGCAAAATTTTGTAAGGTTACCCCCTAAGAGGGACCTCGAGCCCCATTTTCAAGATATTCATTGAAGCGAATTTTCCGAAAATGACATTTGTTAAATTAAAAGCTATTATTTTTGCCGGTTTTACGTCATTGTTCAGTTTTCCACTGCTGTCCGATGTAGGCCTGAGCGTCCATACAAGGGTTAGATGTGGGCCTGCTGAATCAGTCCCTTCAGGGCACGTACTCTCAATGTCGAACTGTTATATGTAGTATGCGAACCAACAGCTATTTCTTTTCCATCCCGCTTCCTTAGAAGAAGAGTCCATGAGAATGGTATTGGCCTAAGGGTCCATCCATGGGTTGGGCCTGCGAAATCAGCCCTCTTTGAAAATTGTCCCCAGGGCATGTACCCCCCCCCCCCCCCCCTTCCGAAGTTGGAATTCCTCCTGAGTGAACAACCTAGCAGTTACACACACTTCCTTCAATGACAGAGGAAAGAATGTGTGCATGAGAATGGCATGAGCCTAAACCTCTGTCTGGGGGGCTGGGCCTAGGCTAGTCCCCCATGAAATGTCCCCCCAGGGCATGTACCTCCAAAGTTGGATTTTTTCTGAACTCTGCATCCCAATAGCTTCTTGTGTACCAAATGTCAGATTTCTAACTTCTCTAGAACATGGTTAGAATTAGCGTCAGTCCGTTTTCCCTTTTCGCTGGTGAGAAAACATGCTTGGAAAAGCCGACCCATACAAAAGCTATGCCCGGATGGGATGCACCATGAAAGCTAAATACTCCCTCAGCTCATTAATATCATGTCATTTATACGTGTGCCAAGTTTCACTTTTCCATTTCTGTCCAATTCGAGACGATAATTTTTTTTCAAAACATCGTCCCTCGAAAAAATTCCCCCAGGGGATGTATCGAGACTTAACATTTTTATCGCTGAAACGATCACGTAATCGATCAGCGATTGCTGGCGCACAGTACCAGTCCGACGATATATCAGACCCCCTGTGCCAGGTAAACTTGTTTTTTTTTTTCCCCTAAATATACTTTATGAGATTCCGTACATTCATGTATGTATTGGTGTGAAGCAAACATGTATACAGTTCGTAGTCAATTAAATAATAAATGAGAGCATTGCAACTTTCACATGAGAAAGAGGCGAAATAAATAATATTTATCTTAAAAACCCGATCATTATATATCACCCGATCATCAGCGTCTCTCCACTGATCGGAGAAAGCACCACGTACCACGTGGTAATGGGATTTTCCTCCTTACGTGACGCTTACTTAAGTAATTATTGATTTTTCAAGCTTGCTTCTTTTTTAAATGATGCCTACATGTTTAGAGTCTCAGACCTTGCCAAACCAGCTAACACTCATCCATGAAGTAAATGTAGCGATCGCACGAAGAAATAAGGCAGATTTAGAAGGTCACAAACTCCGTGGTTCTTCAACCGCTCCCAATGGGTGAAAGACATCGTTCAGCCCTTCTTGTAATTTTGAGAAGGCCTGTATTTTTAGAGTTGAAAATGAAATAATGAACGAAATGAAAATGATGTACAAGAACATAAACGGGGAGTAAGTTACCCATACCTAAACCAGTTTTAATTTTTTTTCGCTTAAAATTTGTTTTCTCAATCTGTGACCTTACAGTCACGTGTGACGCCGGAAATAAAATTCTCAAGCAATTCTAAGCACGAAGTCCCTCATCTCTGCCATATGTGACGAAATAATGCTTCCAGCATTCAGGTATCGAATATGGTCGGATAGCCTTCATTGCAGCAAAAAGATTCTTAAGTCAACGTGGAGTTAAATAAATTAAGTAGACAAATTGCACACAGCCTTGATACCGGCAGTCCAACATAAAGCATCTTGCCGAACAATTATTACAATTATTCCATATTGGACATTTTTATTTTCTGCTTCATCACGATGAAGATCACAATTTTGCAGCTTTGGGAGTGCCGCAAGAGATCCTTGCCTACACGTTGGGCGCCCTGAATCGAGGCGACTCCCTGTCTCAGAAAATCCGATTCGACAAGGACCGCCGGGATCGACTGGAAGCGGAACTCAACAACATCCTCGAACACAACCAGACGTCCATCCCGCACTTGCTCGCGGCGGCATCGCTCAGGTACAGTGGCTAGATGCATTTGGTAGCACGTGGTGGTTCCTCAGCTGCATCTAAGCATCGTGCTAACGTAGACTTTTAACACTAATTTGAGTGGACTGGGTGGTCATGGGAGGGAAATGTACACTTTGTAAGTCGAGGTCGTGTAATTCAGGTGTGAGCAGATGATCATATCGTGCGAGCTGGGGGGAGCGTCGGAAATCCTTGAAGCGGACAGGTGTTGCTCGGAGATCTTCAAATCTCGACCGTTGACCTCGATGGGCCCCTGCATCTCCACCCACGGATACACCCGCTATCAGAACTACCCTGGGGCTTCCATGGGGCTCAGCGTCATGCTCCGGGTCTTCAGCTCTTCCTGTACGTTCACTCTCTCTCTCTTACGTCTGCATTGTATGAGTAGCGCCGTTGGCCGTGGAGGGCGAGCATTGACGTTCCTAACGTATTGGATGCGTTATTAATGCATCCAATACGTTAGGAATGTTTTCGTGATATCGCTATTGCGCAAAGTACTCAGATCTCTCTCGAGACCCTCGGCTGATGATGCCATAATGAAACCGATGGGGATCATCGAGCTGAAATCCTACACTTAATATGAATGGTTGTTGAGGATTTGCAGGATTTCCATTGTTCCATTGCTCATCGCAAAAGAAAGAACAGTTTTTTGTTCCAAATACTCTAAAGTTTTCCGAATGCGGAGTTTGCGGCTTTCTTCCTCCCGGGAGACATCTTACACGAATGCAGAGTAATCCCACCCTAGATTTCTACGTTGCGAATTGAGCGAGGATTTTCTCAGGTCCCAGGAATTCAAGCCTCAGTTCATCAGAAGAGCAGAGAAGATATCGTTAAAATGCAATGGAAAAACCATTCTGTGGAAAGCTAGCGTCTTGTTCGATGGCGGTCACGAACGAAAAATATTAGATGAAAAATGCGGAACACCTTGCGAACAGAGACTTTCTTCTGCCGTTGACAGGGTTAAACAGGAGCGTCCTGTCAGATGTGGCCCAAGCAGACGGATACAAGGTCATCCTGACGGCCAACTACGAGTCCCCCTCACTTGCTGCCACGATGAGGGCGCATTCCATCAACCCGGGCAGGAAGACCTTCCTTGGCATCCAAGCCGTCAGGGTGAGTCGTCTGTAGATCCTCGTCCAGTTTGGTTGTCCTGGTCATCCGATGAGCATGGCATCCCCAAGAAATTGGAGAACCCTAGTTTAAGATATTCGAGTGTCGGTTGCAAAATTGTCATTGAAGAGAGATAGGTCTGATTGTCGTAGCAAATATTTTTTGATTATGTATGAAGAAATCTCTGTAGTGGCAACCAGAATTTCCGTTCTTCTCCCTTGGGGCACCCGACCCACCAGGTGGAACATTCGGGGATGAACGTCTACCCGGTGAGGTCGGACGCGTGCGGCGACGTGGACCTGACGACGGCTCCGACCAAATCGGTTCACGACCTCATGGATGACTATCCCTATTCCTGGAACTGTGTCGAGAGGATCTTCCGGGAGGCGACCATCAACTCCTCGTGCAAGTGCTACCCTGCCGACACCCTTTCGTCCGAAGGTTTCCTCGATTTTTGGCATTTCAGAGCCGAATCTCGGATGAATGTCGTGGCATAACAGCACCGTTCTTTTTTTCTCTCTCTCTCTTCCGCTTAGAGCTGCAGAACCTCAACCTATCCGTGTGCAGACCTGAGACGTACATGTGGTGCATGAGACAGGAAGTGGCGAGCGACACGTATGCTGACCTCGTATATGAAAGGGCTGGTGAGCTGCTTCACTCGGATTGAATCCTTTTTCTTCGAAATCTAAATGAGACTTCTCACACGTTCGTTGCTTTGACGAAAATTGTTTCAGTTGTAAAAAAATAAAAAATAAAAATTCGACTTTCTGGGTGAAATGCACCAGATCCGTTCGATTTGATAACTTTTCACAATGGTTTTCCTCGGGTATAATATTACACCCGTCAAACCGAACTCCATAGAAAACCACATGAGATCGGATCAGTTCAATTATGGTTGGTCTCTTTCCTCCCAAAACCCCCCGGGAGTGGCTACCCTGGAGAAGGGGAAAAAAAAAGAAGGAATGAAATTCACATCCTCCAAAAAAGAGATTCAGTGTTCTCCCCAACCTCAGGGAGATGGAACTTCAAATTTGCTGGAGCGGTTCTGTGGTGAAAGAGGAAGAAGTATGCCAAATTTCGTTCCTGTTGAAGCTCTCAGAGAAGAATACGAGGAAGTTGAATTTTGTGGCGTGAAGGGGTTGAAGAAAGGAAATAGGCGCTACCAAAAAGCCTATTCGAGTATGTTCGAATTCGAAAATCAGCTTCTCCTCTGGACTTGATGTTGATTTCACTGATCGTTGCAGCTCCAATCGAAGGAGGCAAACGCTCGACTGCCCGAATGTGCCCAGAGAACTCTTACCATCGAGCACCTGCCACACACTTGGCGACGCCGGAAGATCAGATCCTCGCATTTCCCACTCTCGCATCGCCCTTCCCCAAATTCCACCAACTGCCACACGTCTCCGCTGCCTTCGCCCTCCATCCCATTCCCTCCAGTTCCACTTGCAGTGCTGGAGTCCTTTCTTTTCGAAATGCGAGGCAGTCGTTAAGCCTACTTTAGGGAATTGGACGAAGACTTGATGTTCCTCATTGATGTTCCCTTTTGTCCTTTTGTCCTTTTATTTTTATTTATTTTACCTTTTTTTATGGAGTTCTTGTCTCGGAAGAGAGTGGGGTCGTGTTCACCTACCATATTGTTTGTTTGAATCTTTTTTTGCTTCAATTACGTATCTCTCATGCGTTATATTTCGCTGATATCCAAATTTCCGTGAGAGGGCAAATTCTTCTAATGCAGTGATGTACAACCCGTGGGAGACCTTTTTTGCGGCCCCTTGGATGCCTCCGGCCTCTAAAAATCCATATCCAAAATCCATGCGGCCAATTTCGGCCTATGTTCGAGGGCCTGCGGCCCTCGAACCCCTCGAACAAGAGCCGAAATCTCAATTTGGCCCTCTAGGGGGAAATGGTTGTGCACCATTGTTCTAATGGGTTCATATTGAAAATTTGAAAATCAATTGGGCGTGTACGTAGTTTCAGAATAACGTGCGGAATTCTTTTGATCTTGAGATCCTTGAGTCGGGTTTATGCAAAACCTTCAGTTTTGAGGTCATTGTGCTATGTGCTCTTTCTTGTGTACTTAACCAGCCTTCGTTTTTTCCTTTACAGAGAAGGAATGCAAGCCTCTTTGCACAGAAAGCTCCTACGAAGCACTCGTCACCTACGACCACTTGAATCCGGCCTACGCAGAAAGCGTGATTAAGCATGTAGGATGCAATCTCACTCAAACGTGAGGGATGCGTTCATGGGCTATCAAGCCGTCTGCTGTGAAAGAAGTAGTAATGAAGTCAGTTTTATCTGATGCAGTGGGGATGTGGCGATGTTCGGGGTTCACTACAACATGCTGTCAGAACGCGTCATCTCCTACTCGGCTTATGCCATCATCGACCTCATCAGTGAGTCGACCGAAAGGGAATGAGCTCAATGGCTTCTCACCTCATAATACGAACGCGCTCCGCATTTTAGGTAGCACGGGAGGCATTCTCAGTCTCATCTTCGGAGGCAGCTTCATGACCGTCATCCAGTTCATCACCTTCAACGTTTGGCTGTACCGTCGACTTGTGCTGTAGAAGGAATAAGCTGATGCGGAAGCCAGAAATCTTGTCCTGGCGTCGCTGGATGTATCATCCAAAGGATCCATTGCTCTTTTCTATCCTGAGAAGAGGAAGTCGGGAGGACTGACCACTCAGGATTGCTTCTTTTTCAGACTCGGTGCACGGGCTTTCAGGCTGTAGGTGTCGTGAATATTGGTAGAATAAAGAAACTGCAAGCCTTTTGCAGCTACCCGTGAAAATATCGGTCTTGATGCCGGTCCAGTCGTTATTGGGTGTTCTTGTAGGTTCGTGCTCTTCACTCGTATCTAATCGATTTCTTCAATCCGCCTTTTTCTGTCATACGTGCTCTTCGGCTGCCATTCCCACGAAGCTCGATCGAATTTACTAGATAGTACAAAAAGTACAGATAGTACTTTCTCCTTGTGAAAAACACATATTCAACTTTGGCACTTCCGCTCTACCCCTCCCCAATCCCGGCATGGAATTGGCAAGCAAATGGCGAAAATTGACGGAAGATGAAGATCGAGGAAGTTGAGCGAACCTCATCCCTGTCTTCAACTCTCAGGCCCAGCACGCGACATGCAACCGCGTGGGAGCACTTCAGCGCGGGGCCTCTCTCGGTTGCAATGGGTGTCTCTTGTACAGGGTGTCCCACTCGCTTTGGTACCCGAAAAAGGGCAAATATCTTTTAATCTATTGAACGTATTAAAACGAAATTTGAACTTCACGTACCTTACTCTATGACAATCAAAATGATGTGCTTGGTCGCACTGTAGGCGCCAGAAAACCGGGATAGCAGGCGGAGGAGTCGCGCCTTCCTGGCCTGCGCTGACAGACCGGAGGTACCGCGGGCAAATAAACGTTGGTCAACCTGCTGCTTCTTCAGTGGTACCCAATGAAGGTCGTCCTACCACGGTGCACGGTATGTAGTGCCCAGTCGTACCGACTTTTTCAGGCTTTCTTCGATGACAGGGTTATCTCCAAGGGACTTTGGCCGCCACGTTCGCCGGATTTAACACCGCCTGATTTCTTTCTCTGGGGGATGGACTTCCCCGCTCACATGGCCTTGTTCGGTTCTTGTGAACGCCTTGAGCTCCGGTTGTAGGCCGTTCTTTATCTGCGTCACCTAGGCCTATACTATCGTGCGTGGAAGGATTTGTACCTTGCAGGTGTCCAAGCATGCTTGGATGCAAACGGCGGACATTTCCAACATATGTTGTGACATCGTTTTGATTGTCATAGAGTAAGGTACGTGCAGTTCAAATTTCGTTGTAATACGTTCAATAGTTTAAAGGTTACTCGCGCTTTTTCGGGTACCAAAGCGAGTGGGACACCCTGTAGAAAGTCTCTATTAAATACATAATAGATTTCCCGATCGAGACGTCCCCATGTGCCGCCATGTGTTCCCAGGCGTCCCGCCTTCCAAGATTCAAGATAGTTAGCGATACTGAGAGGCGATTTCACCCATTTCGATATCACGTGTCGAGGTCAAGCGTTCCTTAATTTAGGGTAGGCCTAACCCTCTTAAAGCTAAATATTTTTGTTTTTTTTGCTTTTTTTTGCATATGATATTTGCTTACTGTCTAGTACCTAACGTCAACATTGCCCCCCCCCCCCTTTTTTACATGTCCATGAAAGCATCCAGATTCTTCTTAAAGATAGTCACAGAAGCGTCAGCCACAACTTCCTCATCTAACGCATTCCATGCGTTCAACGCTCTGCAAGTAAAGAATTCCTGCCTCAACCTGAGCCGCACATGCGGTTTGCGCAACTTAAGTTGGTTAACTCTCGTTCTCTTGCTGCCATCAAGCTGGAAAAACCAACCGCACTCGACATTATATATTACTTCAATTATCTTGAAGGCCTGGATGAGATCGCCCCTGCTTAACCTTCGCTCGAGCGAGTACAGTCCCAACACTTCTAAACGCTTCTTTTATGAAAGTCCCCTGACCTTAATCATTCTTGTGGCCCTTAGAGAGATCCCCTCCGTCTGGCGTCCAAAGGGATGCCGCCATAGGGGGGGTTGTGTCAATAACAATACAAGGGTTGCAAGTAGGACTTCGCGCGTTATTCTACCGTTGGATGCGGCGCTGAAAAGACCCCAGTTGGAATATTGCATCTAGTTTTGGAGGCCTACAAATAAGGGCGATTTGTTGGCGCTCAAAGGAGTACAGAGAAGGGCAGAGAGATTCCCCCCCCCCCGCCTGGCTTCCAAAGAGATGCCGCCATTGGGGGTTGGTGTCAATAACAATGGAAGGGTTGGGAGGAAGGGGTTCCCTATTGTGTGACATCAGGGGCTGCACCCTCCTTTCCTGTCGTCTGCTCCGCCCCACCCCTGAGGGAGGGGTGATTGTCAAATGAGTCAAATTATTCAAATGAGTGGATGTATACTATTGATGTGGGGATATGTTTGGTTCGATATGAATCGGCGACGGGAGTTTTGTATTTCTTTCCCCGCTCCGTTGTTTTTTCGTTTTCGTATTCGGAATCACTATTAATTATATGATGGAGATCGTAATTGCGTCATAGGGGAAATGGAATCTCCTACTGCATCATACCTCTTACGCTCCTGTGGTTTGCAGACGAAGACTCATTCAAGCTATGCAAATGCATTAACTCGAGAAGAAAAATGGAAAAATATCAACAATTAATGCCGTGGCCAGGAATTGAACCTGGACATCTGCGGTCAAAACTCAACGTACTAGCCACTATATGATCATGGCTATCGAACTAACTTATGAGATTGTTGACGTATTTACATATATGATGTGAACTAAAAACAATTGCCCCAGTTGCATTGGATTCCAAGTTGCAAATCATATTCCACGTGATCGCGCAGTGGTCCGAATCTCCCAAATGATCCTGTACCTTAACGTCTCGTGCCAGATCGTCGTTTGTCGCAAAAACTAAATCCAATGAAGCTTCCTCGCGAGTCGGTTCATTTACGTACTGAACGAGAAGAGCGTCCTGAACCGCAATGAGAAATTCCCTATCCATTGCGGCACCGACCAATCTATTTTTGGCATGTTAAAGTCTCCGAAGAGCAATACCTGTTTCGAGATCTTGCCGATCCTACGCATAAGTGCAAAATAAGCTGTTTCATCCTCGAGAGAAGAGTCAGGGGGCCTATAGCAAATTCCTATCACGATCTTCCCAGTTGCCCCACAGATTTCGCAACATAAGTGTTCGATTGGTCCACAGTCGGCCGAGGTGAGATCTTCTCTGACGCCCAGTTCAGTTTTAGCGTACAACATTACTCCTCCCCCCTTTTTGCCGAGTCTATCCTTCTGCAAGATGTCGTACCCTTCGATCTCGAATTCCTTATCCGAAATGTGAGAACCACCTCATGTCTCGGTTATTCCGATGACATCCCAAGTGTTCCCAGGCCTTCCTACAACAAGTGTTCCTAATCATGTCCTTCAGATGAGAACACATTCATGGAGCACCTCCTTGCACACATGAACGCATTAGAGAGCACATACCAGGATTTGGGAACACATTAACGTGGTAAAAAAAAGCCTGCAGGTGTTCTCTTACGTGCTCTCAAGAGTTCCTGGAGGGAAAATTTGTTTACAGTGTAAATATTCCCTTTAATTCACGAACGTTCCCTATTGTGTCTTGCTAAGCTCGCATTATGCCATTTTCAAGGAAATCCGTTTTTGCCCCCTTGAACTCTATTCTGAGTTAAAGGGGGCTCCAGCCCTCACTTAAACTTAGTAGGAATATGAATAATTCTATCGCAAATTGTGGTGTGGTTATCTCACGGATTTAATGAAATTTGGCAAATGACGTGCCCAGTGTTGGGCGGTAATGAAGTAAAAGTAAGGCGTTACAGTAGCTAATTACTTTTTCAGTAATTTCCTTCATAACGAGTTACTTTGCAAGGGAATGAAACGGAAGTGAAAACTAGTTCCTTTTTCATGGGCAAAGTATCTGGCGATACCGCAGCGCGTTTCTTTCCACAATGATTGACTAATTTTTCCGGAAAGCAAAATTAGTTAATCATCGTGAGAAGAAACGCGCTAACATGACAACATGCATTCCATTTGATGAAAATTGGGAAGAAAGGCGTGGACATGAAATAGCCTTGAATTTATGGTTTATTCAGTGCAGGTTTTTTTGCCGTACCTGCAAACCTTTGAAATGCGGAATGTTAGGAACAAATTCGAGAGTTCCATCAAAGCAGGTATTTCTAGGGTTTGCGGGGGGATAATCGCTCTCCCTGACGCCCACTTAGAGGTCATACTTTTGTCTCCCGATTTTCCTTGGGTGAGGCTTGGCTCTGTTACCCTGCCCTCCCAGACCCTCCGGTCAAAATACGCCGATGCATCAATGCAAACTATTGCGTGAAGAGTTCTCTGTTTCCTGATGGTCAAGGTACTTTCTGTCGAATGAACTTCAGCATATAACTTAAGAGAGGATATCTAGATTAGCTCAATCGTGTCCTGACTCCATGCAGACAACCTTTGGTCTAATGTTAGGTCTGAATGATAGGCGTTGCTTTGGTTCTGATAGTGCATCTGCACGGAAACCTTTTGTATGCCTAACGTTGGCATCTCTCTCCTCAATTTTGTCCGATTCCATTAGACTCGACGGGGAAAAGAGTGAGTATGAGAATTTATCCAGTTTAGTGATGATCATAATTCAATTTTCATGAAATCAGGGGTAACTTTCTCTCTTAGTGCATGCATCCAGGTTCTGTCAAGGAGGTGGAGAAGCTGTAGAAAGATCTGTATCTTTTTTCAGGAAAAGTAACTTCTACTTGTAACTATTTACTTTAGGTGAGAAGTAATTATGCTGGTAACTAATTACTTTTTCGATGGAGTACTTGTAATTATAACTAGTTACTTTTCACAAGCAACGCGCCCCCCTTTACAGAGAAATGAAGCCCAGCCGATTTTTATATGCTGGCCCTCCTCCCCCGAAATATGCTGTCACATAACGTTCTCCTTGATGGAACACCACCATGCTCTTGTATTATGAAATACAGGGTGCGCGAGTAGAATTGGCGCGAG